CCTAAATAAAACCCTGAATTAAATTTAATGAATATCCAGCATAAAATTTTAATTAGCACGTTAAAAATTAATCTCATTTTATAATTCGGCGTAAAATTGCATATTGAACTCCACCGCAAAAAGTTGATCCAGCAAATTAATTTAATCAAAAATAATAAATTTGCGCAAATTTCATTGTTAATTATGTTTCGTCTACATTATAGTTAGTTATGGCAAAGTTAATTAAGTAGCGAACTAGAACGTGCACGTTAAGTTTAGCAAACTTGTAACAAGTGAAACCAGCGAAAACATCAGTTTCGCCAACTTTTGTTCAACTTGTAACTTTATCATTCATTACAACCTTCATTAGTCCAAGCAACTTGCCAGAGACCCCAACACGCCAGTCTAATGTGTCTTATGTCCTTGCTGACCTTGAGACATAATTACTTAATAGCGCGCCATGCGGTGTTGGCATGGGATGAGGTCAGACTCTGAGGTTGCTGGGGCAGGACCTTTGTGACACGCACTTAGAGTGGCAGAAAGCGTTAAAGGACTACACGGACGAAGGCATTGGGATTCGAACAATGGGGGCGGCTGGTTCAAACAATTTTCCACTTTCCACGCGACAACGCACCAACAACGACCGATTACAAAGGCCTGCAAAAGGCGATCAAGATTTCCGTGGACAAATTTGACAAATTAACTCCTTTTCTGTTCTTATTCTAAGAAATGAATTAGGTTTTAATTGAGGGAATGTAATTAAACCAGTTGATATTAAAAATTGATCCGTTCAAGAACAGAAAAAAAAAACAAAAGGAGACAAAGAGTCTAAAGTAAATTACATGTAGAATTGAACGGATATTTTTGGCTTTCTAGTGCAAGAATCAAGAAGCACAGCGGATGTGAAGCACATCGTTCCGCATTTTCGACATTATCTATCGGCATAAATCACGAACTCAATTTGGAACAGCTTAGCCCGGCTGGAAGGACGACATTAATCTGCGGTCGGGATTTTAATAAATGAGAATCAGATTTTTCCGAGCGCGTGCTACTTCAAAACCTAGCCTCAATAAATCGGATTACATAACCTTCGACTTTAAATTCGGTAATATTCGGTAGTAATGTTTATTTTTAGTATTGCAGCGATTGGTTTAATTAAACGTCGTCGAGTGCGCTCGTTATCTTGTGTTTTATTTCGCATCGTACCGCCGCCATTTAATAGCGCAGTGCGCCGAATAAAATTGACAATACAAGCTTTCGATTACGCACGTAAATTGGAAAGCTCGGCGGCGACCAATCGCGCAACAGGCCAACGCTAATAAGTGCCGAATGCAATGTTTACTTTTTCAATTAATGGTTTTAATTTGACGGCAGTCAAAATGTAGGTCGCGCCATGCAAATTGCAATTACCGTTTTGGAAGTTTGGATAATTATCCAGTTTTCTATTTGGGGACTGACAGTTTTTGATTGCACACTAATTTGAGTTAACCAATACACTGATTTAAACAGAATTTCAATGATTTGGTTCCATACACTCATCTATAATATAAAAATGAATTGCAAAATGTGTTGGTAAGCGCATAACTCAACAACGCCTAGACCAATTTGGCCAATTCTTTTTTTTTAATGTTCAATAATGTCCAAAGATGGTTCTTACGTCGAGGAAAATTTTACTAATTGCCGGAAAAACCATAAAGACAGCCCTTTTCAATAGGATTAAAGTTGGCAATGAGTTTCAATCATAGCTATAGTTAAATAGTTGAATCCGAGATGGCGCGCTGAAGTGCATTATTAGCAATTCTTTATATAATTAATTTCTTTTATATAAAATTGCAAATCTTATTGAAAGAATTGACACATACTATGTCTAGAGCAAGAAAGTAAAACGAATTACATTTTTATTAAACACTACCGGGACAAAGTCGCGGGCAAAAGCTAGTTTAAAATAAAACTTCAAAAACAATTTTTGATTTTTGATTTTTTGACACATTTTTTTAGTTCTTTGGCGAATTAAACGTGAATAAATGTATATGTGAATCTTTAAATTGTGACTTTCGTGAGTCTATTTCATAAATTTTGTGCATCCTGATGCTGAAAGGTGGAAAAAGCGAAAAGGTTATCATTGTGCATGCTCACGGCACGACGCAGTATATTTTTATTTCGTGCACGATTTGTCGCCGTAATGGAAAAACGTGTTGGCCCCTACCGGCCAAGCTTATTTCATCTAATCATTATTTATATACGAGTAAGGGTCTGCTAGCAGCTCGCATTGAGATGCAAGCAATTTAAAATTGCAATTTTTATAAGAAAAATATTATATTTTCTATAAAAAAATTGTACTTTCTGTTGTGTGAATTTAGTAGACATGGAAAATGTAGGTACGAAAATGTAAGTAAAACTGGGCGCGGTTTAATTCGCCAAAGGGTCATATATCAGCATTTAAGTCGAAACCTTGGCCGCCTCGTGCCGTCTCACCCTCGGATGGTTGTTATTACACTCGTTTTTGGTAACCTGCCGTCCGTCGGTTTGTTTCTTGCTTTTCTTTCACCCAGCTCGCTTTTTTCCAACTGCGCGTGCGAGTTTTTTGCGAATATCGCATTTTGCCTTTTGCTTTTTCAATTTAAACTTGAAAATTATATTTCTGCGGGAATTGCGCAACAAAGCATCTCATAAATAATCCACGAAAAAGAAATACAAAAACAGAAAGGACGACGGCAAAAAATATTGGAAATAGAAGACCAACAAAGAAATAAAAACGAAATAATACAATAAACATCCTGCAGGTATAAAACAGAGCCGAAATTTAAATATATTATTTATTAGAAATTTGTAATTCAAAAAAGAATGGAATCGAAACCAATTAATAACAAATTCTGCCAATACTTTTCGGTGCACAAAAAATATATCCTCAATTTGCTGTTTTACGGCTACACCAAGCAAGTTACCCTGCAACCCTTTCACCGTTTCAACATGTGTTATAATTCACGCGAATGCCACCCTTTTTCACCTTTTTTAACAAAAAAATTCGAAAAACAAAAAAATTCAAAAAATTGAATTTTTATTATGTCCGACAGATGAGAATATTAGAAAAGACAATAACGTATCACAAGAAACAAAGAAAAGCAACAAAAATTAACAATTACATTGTTTTGACCAAAATTGTTGCAAATAAAACTTGACGTTTTAAAGTATAAAACATTGCTGGTGATTCTTCAAGTTGTTTATAAATATTTCACTCTTTTTACTTGCGTTTATGGTACAATTGGAGCTTTTGCTTGAACGAAGCTTCTGTTTTTGTTAAAAGGGCTGGCAACGAATATAATGGGCGAAATTTTATTATGCGAACAGAATAAGCATCAGAGCGCGTGCAATTTAATTTGCATTTTATTAGCGCCGGCAGCCCGAGAGGCGCGGAGACGCACCCGAAGGTGTTGTTGCTACCTTGGTGGGTCTAGACGTCGTTTACGTCCCTACCGATGCCCGGGCGGTGCAACCCGAGGCTCGTTAATAAAACTAACGCGTTTTAAACGTTTCTTCCGTCTCCGCACGCCGCGCCGAAAGTGGAAGCAATACGCAGCAATGACTACCAGTAACCGGAGTGTGCGGAGTGAGCAGTTAAGCGCGAGGAAGGACGACTTTTACGACGGCACGATAGAATTTAGATCGATATTAAGGATTCTTGCACTTTCTACATGCCGGGCTTGTTTTTATTTTTGGACTATTAGTGTTTAGTTAAAAATAGCAACATAAACGGTTGATTTAGGGCTGTTGGGATGTTAGAACTGTCAAAAAGAACAAATTTAACCAAAATTTATACAAAAACAATATTAAGACATAAAAAATTATTATAGGACTTAGATAACTTGAACTTATCTTCTAGTAGCTTTTGTCCGCGACGTTATCCCGGTAGTGTTTAATAAAAATGTAATTCGTTTTTACTCCCTTGTTTCAGATAAAGTATGTGTCAATTCTATCAATAAGATTTGCAATTTTATTTTAAAGAAATTAATTATATAAAGAATTGCTTATAATTCAACTATTTAACTAAACTATGATTGAATGTCAATTCCAACTTTTATTCTATAGAAAAGGGCTGTCTTTAGGGTTTTTCCGGCAATTATTTGAACGTTTTTTAAAAACCATCCTGGGACTTCAACGAACATTAAAAAAAAAAGAATTAGCCGATTTGGTTTAGGCGTTGTTGAGTTATGCGCTTACAAACAAATTTGGCGATTCATTTTTATATTACTACTTCTATTAGTTTACTAAAAGTTTAAAGATAAATACCTACCGAATCATTGCATTCAATTATTCCGCGTAATAAACGCTAACTACTTGAAATATCATACGAAAAGTGATGGTGCATTTGTGTAAACATTAAAACATGCATGCGTTACACTCAAAGTTCTTTAACTTCCTGCATTGGCGCGTGTCGGCGTCGGTTTTGTTTTCCACATTCAAAACTCCGCTTTCCGCTTACGCGCGCGCGCGCCTTGCCCGATCGGTTTGTGCGACAATGAAATGAAAGTTTACGCGGAAACTTCTTCTTACCGAGCGGTGGCACGCCATCATCGTCGCAACGCGTGTTCGGGAAATTGCGAAATTAAATTTTACTCAGTGGCAGTCTAGGTTGTGGCGCGTCGGTGCTAGGAAAACGTCGAGTAATATCATAAAAAGTTAGTTGAGTTCTAACTTTTCTATAGTAAATTCTAATATATTGTTTGAGAATTTTATACATATAAAATCTTTAAAGTTTTTATGCATATAGGTATTTCCTAAATAATACTAAAAGTTTTGATTTTTTTCTTCAAAACTTAAAAAAGAGTCTTACATTATTGAAATAATATTTTAAAGAAAATTAAATATTTTAAATAAAAATATTTTGTAAAAAAAATTGTTTAGGGTACACCGCCAAAGCATTTTTGGGTGGTGGTGGCAGGCGCCTCCACCACCACCATCCGTGTAGCTCCACCGTTGCCACCGCTGCCGCCGCCGCCGAGTCGGGTAGTCACAGTCGAGGCTTCGCGCTGAACGCACGCTGATTGTCTCGCACAAGCCGCCACCGGCCGCGATCTCGCGTAGACGTATTCCGCCAAGCTGCAGCTATCTCATCCACCCGCCGAAACCAATATATTGTCGATAATTCTGCCGACACAGTTCCAACTTTGTTTCGAATTTCTCATTCCTGTATCAGAACCACAAGTTTAAAGTTTCACGCGTTCGCTGTGACATCGAGTTAAATCTCCGCCTTGTTCTAGTGCTCGAGTTTTGCCCTCCCAGAAAAAAAAACAGTGAAAAAAAAAAGAAAAACATTTGGTATAGGTAGAAAAAGTTCAAAACAAGGTAAGTTTAATAAAAAATATTTTATAATACAAAAAAAATTCAAAAAAATAATCAAAGTGATTTTGCAAAAAAAAATTGTGAATTCAGGCGTAGGTATACAAAATCAAATTTCCGGTTTATGTGTTATACAATACATTTTTAGCAAAACTCAAACTGATTTTGATGTTTTTTTTAACTATAAATAAATATATCACACTGTATATTCTTGTTATCTGTTATGACGTTGGTAAAAACGTGCGCGTTGTGCAAGGACGCTAATCCACCCTCAACCCCCAAAGTCGGCGCACTCGTGCGAGAGTTATAGTGCGAGTTGCGTCCCTCGCGAGAAAGTACCCGCATCACGGGGTGTGTTACGGGGTGTGTTGCGAGAGCGCATGCCAAACAACACGTATAGTTTCAACGCGAGAACATATTCGCCACGTACGCACAATGTACGTTTATTCGTTTTTCTTCCACATTTTCGTCACTTTCGCTCTCGTATAATCGCACCCTAGCAGTGGTACTTGTTTTTTATACCCACCTACATATCCCCCGCTTTATTTCTTACTTATATAGAAAAAAATATTAATATTTTACCCATTTTGTCTGTGTAGTCTAAGTTTGCGTTTTGCTGTGCTTAGCAAAATTTGCAACGAGTGGGATTACAAGGATTCCAGCGCGGTATCAACAATGTACAAATCGTCCTCATTTGTATTTGGAGGCGGCCTATATTCGCACAATGCTTTGTCGCCGAGATGGAAAACCACCCCTCAGCGTCGGCGCGTAATTGTCCTTGAATCCTTCGGCGTTATTACGCGTAATGCTCGTTCATTTGTGGCGGATTACCTAATCCGCTTGCAATTTATTTGAAAATCTTAAGAGACAAAGTTAAAAAAAAACAAAATCTTATGGCACAAACCTTGTACACTCAGGGAATTGATTTTAAGTTCGTTGCGGTTGTTAGCGAGAAGTTGAAGTAGTTGACGGAGCTATCACGGTAGTTACCGGTCGATTCACTCCCTTGTTAATTACACCATCCTTTCAACAAGAGTAATATGTTGTTCTTGTTGTTGAACTTATCCAGCTAAAACTATTCATATTTCTCTGCGTTGCTCTACAAACACAAATATTTATTCTGCATATTTCTGTATCCTACTAACACACTGTATAATTAGTACATTAGCACAACTAGTATGCAATATCATGGACGCCGCCTTGCATAACGAATTCCTTTCATGCTAGTTATGAATTTTTAATAATTAAACAGGCCTAGCCGCCGTTTCCTTGCTGTTTGCTATTCAGCAGGATGAAGCAATTTGCGCGTCGCATAATGCCAACCCAGGTACCGAAGCGTATTCCTGCTGCGTGTGGAAACGTGTGCGCGTGTGTGGGTGTGGTTGCTCTAAGAGATAATCTCGCAACTGGATGTTTGACGCGCTACCATAGTCCTGTTTTCCTGTGGGTTGTTACGGTGTACAGCCGCAGGGGCAGGATGTGGCGTTTTACGACCGACCACAAATTTACTCAAACAGCAACACACGGCTTGATTGATCTATTAATCATTCATGTTTTATGGATTTGTTTTTATACGCATGCGCGACCGCGAAAAAATTATATTCTTTTAAATATTCATTAAAACAGTTATTAACTGGAATTCTGTTGGAATAATTTTTGTTTACGAGGGAACTTTGTTCGATTTTTTGGTTATTTTCAGTGCCGTGGTCCAGCAAGATAATAAATAACACAGTGTTATGCAGTGGCCAGCAGGACTAGAATATTTACCGTTTGGTGTGCACTTCAGTGACGCGTTCGTTACACGCCAAATTTGTAATTATTGCGGTTGCGTTCAAAATGTCACATAAACTAAATTCACCAGCGGTGTGCACGGCGAAACTTGCTAATTTGGTGTTTTCATTGTTTTACTAACATAGACTACATGCTAACACGGTAACTCCAATAGATAACATTAAAATTTAGTAGAATTTATCTAAATACAAGCTTTTGCCTGCGACTTTGTTTTGGTAGTGGTTAATAAAAATGTAATTCGTTCTTACTCTTTTGTTCTAAACATAGTATGTGTCAATTCTATCAATAAGATTTGCAATTTTATTTTAAAGAAATTAATTATATAAAGAATTGCTAATAATGCACTTCAGCGCGTCATCTCAGATTCAACTATTTAACTATAACTATGATTGAATCTCAATGCCAACTTTTATCCTATAGAAAAGGGCTGTCTTTAGGGTTTTCCCGGCAATTATTCGAATTTTTCTTACGGTTTAAACCATCTTTGGACTTTAACAAACATTTGAAAAAAAGAATTGGCCAAATTGATTTAGGCGTTATTGAGTTATGAGCTTACCAACAAATTTGACAATTTATTTTTATATGTATTATAGATTTTTGAACATTAATTCGAATAACACTGGAAACAATGCAAATGGCTTGATAAGTAATTAACTCATAATTAAAAAATAACATTTTTGCCGGCGGCCACTTTTTAATCCATTTGCCATTGTCCCAAAATTTTACTCAGAGTGTTATAATTCCATTGAAAATATTAAATTATTCATATCTCTAGTAAATTGTGTTGTGATGAGTTATGAAACACTCTATAAGTCTAAAATTTTATATCTGGCTAGAGGGTCGTTGTCGTTATGCTCGAGCTGAAGATTATTATTTCTTGTAATGCGTCCTTTCGCCTGTTACAGTCTACGTCCCGGGCCGAAACGATGATAGTAAAGTTTTCGAGTTCATTTAAGTAAAGTGGAAGTCCTTCCGTTTAGCCGCCGCTCGACGGTGTGGGCGTGTTGGCCTCGCACTGCAAGGACAATGAATCCAGACTCAACCAAATCCAAAAGCTTTCGTTGAGAATAAATGTCTACTACGTATTTGAATGTTTTAGGTTTAAATTTTAAGTAAAATTTAAAATTTTTGGTAAAATATTAATTTTAATTAGGTTTATGAGCAATAAATTTAAATTTCCTGCATTTTGCCCTTAACGAATTACCAATTTCCGGCGTTAACTACAACTACAACTCAGCAACATTCAAACATTTTGCATCCCACCCTTTGGTAGAGGCAAACGCAAAACTTTCCCAAATGCAGGACCGACTTCAAAATATCGCATGCACGTTTCTCGATGCGTATCCACTCGTCACGCTCGCGGATCCTCGAGGCGACGGCAGAGATTTTGGCGCAGGATCGATTAGCTCGCCCAACCTACCGACACGCGCGCGAGTATGAACTATATTGTGGTAACACGTTATTTCCCTTTCGAGTCGACGAATAGTTGGTGTAGCTAACGGTTGAAGCGCGTATCGAATGCATTTACGGCTACATGTGCCGTGCATAAATACACTCAACACATATACACATATTCATATTCTCGTGAAGCGAGAGTTTGGAAGTTACGAATAGAACTAGGAACAACGCGAAGTGGTGGTATTTGCAGCCGAGGATTTTCATACCGGCAATATTTCTGCATGGGTCGAGGTCGCGCTTTTGGCATAACTAGCGTATAACTGGAATATAACTTGCTCGATCACTTGTGCTTCAACTTTAACAACTTTAGTTTTAATCGTATCTAAAATACGTACGATGTGTTTATAGCCAATAATATAATAAAAATGTAAATATATAAAGAATTGCTAATAATGCACTTCAGCGCGCCATCTCGGATTCAACTATTTAACTATAACTATGATTAAATCTCAATGCCAACTTTTATCCTATAGAAAAATGCTGTCTTTTAGGTTTTCCCGGCAATTATTTGAATTTTTCTCGCCGTTAAAACCATCCATGGACTTGGACAAACATTTAAAAAAAATAATTGGCCAAATTGGTCTTGGCGTTGTTGAGTTATGCGCTTACCAACATATTTTGTGATTCATTTTTATTTCTTATAGATATTAAATTTTGAAAAAATATAGACGAGTATTACTTAGGTTAGAGTTTGATGAAACTTCATTTTAGGTTAGCGTCGCCACGTCAGAGTAGTAAGCAGATAATATAAAAATCCAATTTGAAAGTTTTGTACTTTATATCTAACTCGCTGATAAATTCAGAAGGCAACTCGACCAGCTTATTATACGAGGTGTTATCTCGTTTTTTCATTTTACTTCTTTCCGCCTTTAGTTTTCAAGTCTATTACCGTCTCGTTCGCTAGTTTGCATCAGCATCAGAGCGTCAAGCGTCGTCGTCGGCGTCGAGCTTAATTTAAAATTATCGAGATGAAAGTTTACAATCTTAGCACTTTCATCACTCATCGCTTAACCCGTTTAATCTCATTTGTGAAGTTTCTCAAAAAAAGTTTGTAAAAAATTTACATCTATTTAAATTATCATTTTTTAAGTTTTCTGAAACACTTTGTATTATATTGGATGAGAAAAGTATGTAAAACAAAGAGTTGATTATATTTGCGTGTGTTTCTTTGATGTCTTAATTTGTAATTTCCACTCCTTTAAACTTATTAAACGCGCGTAAACTTTTGATGCAGATATTAAACGAAGCGTGAGTGGGGTGGAATAAGGGCGTAAAATATTTCCAACCGAATAGAAATTAGAGATTACTCGGCTGGCGATGGCAAAGGATGCGGTGGTAAACGCCTGGATGGGTTTGCACTTTGGGGAACACGTTTGGCAATAAATGTAGATTATGCGCGTGACTGTGTGCGCCATGCGGGTAGCCACGAGATGTGAAAGTATCTAGGGACACTGGGGATTTCTAGTTGGTACTGCCTGACATCAAAGCTTAGCCACTAAACCAATAAATCAATACTATCCAAATTGAAACAATGCACGTATAAACAAATAAAAAATCTTCTTATAAACAGTTGTAATTGTTGATGTTCATGCTAATGTGGATGTTGATGCGAATTGTCAACACACATCAACAACACGTCGAATGGTAATAGTTGTTTTCCGCACGTAAACCAGGTCCATAGCGCGGTCCAAATGTTTGTACGCCTGTTTCGGGGCCTGGTGCGGGGGTGTCGATATAACCCTCACTAATGACCGACT